ATTAAAACATTACGCCCAAGGTAAAGAGGTCTATTTGAAGGGCAATACAAAGCACACCACATGCTTTTATATTTACTTATCTTTTATAATACTTACATCCRTAGGCATTTAATAATTCGTCAGCATAAGGAGCTCTGTCAGGGTCGTCACCCTCTTCAGAAGCTGGTATGTTGATGCCATAAACTGCCTCCAGAACTTCACGAGGGATTCTCTGACAAACGTTCAACTTGTTAAGAAAATTATCATCAAAATAGCATCCATAAATATTAGAGCAAAAGCTAGGYAAAGCAAAGCAAAGGAAGAAGAGGAAAAAGACAATAAGAAGAGAAGACAGGAAAGGAACTCTAGGAGAGGAGAGAATAATGACAGAGCAAGATGACAATGAAAATGTTAGGGAAAATGAAATGTTTAATGCAAAAAAAAAGTTAATCAGAAACAGAGAAAAACTATTTAAAACTATTTAATTATAAAATAAGGGTGACAGACCTAAGGTTGGAATATAATGCTTTTCTCATTTAATACCACAAAAGTTATTCCCTTGAGTTTTATTTCTATATTTTCAAGTTTCAAGTTTCAAGTTTGGATACACTCAAACGAAGAACTTATCATTAGAACTAYAGTCTGTAACCTGAAATGGGAAAAACATTACACCAAAAAAGGGGCAATTGAGTTTGCCTGGAATCAAGCTCTAATTTTATTTATTTATTTATTTTTTTCTTTTAATCTTTTTCATCAAATAACATTCATAGATACTAGAGCAAAAGCTAGGCAAAGCAAAGCAAAGAGACAGGGTAAAAAAGAAACATAAAGCAAAGGAAGAAGAAGGAAAGACGATAAGAAGAGAGGACAGGAGAGGAAYTCTTGGAGAGGAGAGGGGAAAATGAAATATTTTTTTAGGATATYAGAGCAACTGGAGGCACATGGTCCCTCATCTGATCGATAGGAAGAATTCCATTAACGACCATCTCTGCCTTAGTGGACACAAATGATGGGAAGACAAGACCTGGACAATCACACAGGCAAACACTTGGACTAAGATTTAGAGTCTGAAACAAACAGCAAAAATATATGAGATGTTTGTATATTGATGAAGGTGTTTTAGTAAGCAACTTGCTGCAGTAAGACACTGAATGTCAATAATACCATCATTCCTTGCCTGGTAATGTTTTGTTTTTCCAGGTGTAGCAGATACAGATACCATGCTTCTACCATCATTCCTTGCCTGGTAATGTTTTGTTTTTCCAGGTGTAGCAGATACAGATACCATATGCTACTACCAATAGTCCTTACCTGGTAATGTTTTGTTTTTCCAAGTGTACCAGATACAGATACCATATGCTACTACCATCAGTCCTTACCTGGTAATGTTTTGTTTTTCCAGGTGTACCAGATACAGATACCA